GTAACCCTGGAAATAAATGATCAAGTGAAGGAATACCGAGTTCGCCACTTTGAAGTCAAATGAAGATTGTATCAACATTCATGCATTCATAAGAACATCATTTGCACAATAAACAATGCATTAAATTAATACATTTGATTGTATTCAAACATGAAGTTTTACAGATCTTCGTATGAAAAAGAAAATTCATGATGAAAAATACCTTACAAGAATAATGTAGAATTTAAAACCTCGAATGCATGAATCACACAAACATCTGAGGAATAGATGGTCGCAATCCACAAAAGAAGTATTATTTTGGGGTATGTTACCCAATCAACAAGTTATTTCAATGAGAAAATGATTTTCAAAGTTTCTCATTTAATTTTTTCTAAAAATGAAATTGTTGAATAGTAAGAAAATGATTTCCATAGTTTCTTACTTAGTAAACTATTTCCCACATCTGTAAGCCATTCAGTGCATGATATTTTTAAAGCCTCTGGGTCATCCGTAAGTCCTACAGTGCATAATGTTTTCAAAAAGCCTTCGGAAGCTTTTTGATATTTTTAAAGCCTTCGGGTCATCTGTAAGCCCTTCAGTGCATGATGTTTTTAAAGCCTCTGGGTCATCCGTAAGACCTACAGTGCATGATGTTTTCAAAAAGCCTTCAGAAGCTTTTTGATATTTTTAAAGCCTCCAGGTCATCTGTAATCCCTTCAGTGCATGATGTTTTTAAAGCCTTCGGGTCATCTGTAAACCCTACAGTGCAGGATGTTTTCAAAAAGCCTTCGGAAGCTTTTTGATATTTTTAAAGCCTCGGGTTATTTGTAAACCCTTCAGTGCATGATGTTTTTAAAGCCTCTGGGTCATCTATAAACCCTTCAGTGCATGATGTTTTCAAAGCCTTTGGGTCATCTGTAAGCCCTTCAGTGCATGATGTTTTCAAATACCTCAGGGCCATCCATAAGACCTATAGTGCAGGATGTTTTCAAAAAGCCTTCGGGAGCTTTTTGATATTTAAAACCTCTGGGTCATCTGTAAGACCTACAGTGCAAGATGATAAGACCTCAGGGCCATTCATAAGACCTCTGGGCAAAATGTTTTAAACATTTACATCCTACTCAAAAGAAGCCAAATGAAAAAATTATTGTTTTTTTCATCTTTGCTCTATTCTTGTTAAAACAAAAATGAGCAAAGAGGGGCAACTGTAAACACTAATTTTTTCATATTATTATTATTATTGTTATTATTATATATATTATATATATTATTATTAAACGAAAAATAATAATAATAATACAAACCCACAGCCCATTTACAAAGAACCCATGCCCAGTTTACAAGCCCAACCTCGGTGGCCTAACAGAAACCCTAAATTGATTAGGGTTTGTATCCTATACACCCAGCCGCCGCTAGGAAGAGGAACAACTGTTGGGAAGAGGAACAGCCGCCGATGGGAAGAGGAACAACCGTCTCTGATGCACCATGCAGCCGACGCTCTACTGCCAGGTGACCCAACCAGCTGCTGCCACCACCACGACCGACTTCTCCACTACCACGGCATCTCGACGAAGCCTCTAGAAACGCCACGAAGCCACCCACGTCGAAGCCCTATGGTGAGTCACCACCATAGCTATGGTGACTCACCGAGGGCCATTCTTTTAACCGGTCCGAGGAAGACACTGTGGTGGCCACTGAACTTGCAAAGAACGACCACGACAGCATCACAACAACCAACAGAGGAGAAGAAGAATATACAAACAAGAAACGAGCAAACCACAACAACACCGACGATAGAAAGCAACGAAAAACAACCGAAAGAAGAGTGAAGAGACTTACCAAGCGGTGTCGGAAGCCAAACGTCGTCAAACTGCCATTTAATCAAAGGTAGGATCCTTCGGTGGTCGGCGGTAGCGCTTGGCGGCGGATCGTGGCTGTTAACCAGACTCTCTCCGGTGACAGAAGCCTAGAGAGATTTTTGATCTCTGTTTTAGAGAGAGAGAGAGGAAAAAAGAAAAAATGAAAGGCTTAAGCCTTTCTCGGTCGGGGTTTAGGGTATTTATACCCTCACCAAAACGACGTAGTTTTGGTGAGAGCCTCTAGGTAATTTTCCACATGGGAAAACCCTTTCCGTAGTATCCCAATTTGTAATGTTTACGTTTTAGTCACTGGAATTGATTTTCTGAGTATTTTAATTTGGTCTCGTAATTTTCTTTTATTTTATTTTAATCCTTTCCAGTATAATTATATATTTTAGGGTAAATATCTTATTTAGTCCTTTATAATTTAAATTAATTTTACTTTAATCCTGTATTAATATTTATGGCTAATTTACACTGTTAATACTCAAATCTTATAATATTTCGAATTGAGCTATAAATTTTAATATTTTACATTTTATTCATGTTATTTTAATTTTTTTATTTCAGTCATTATTTAATTGCAATTTATTATCCTTTAATTATATGTTTAAATTAGTAATTTAATTATTATTTGGTTATATAAAATATATTTAATTAATATTGTATTTATAAAAACAATATATATATATATATATATAGTTTTATTCATATTATTATATTTTTCTTCATTTTATATTTCTTTAATTTTCATATTAATATATATTATTTGATTAATTTTATAAATTAATAATATTTATTTATTTTTAAATATTAAGAGAGGGTAGTCTTAAAGCAACTAGATGTCCTATTCTAATATTTAAAAAAAATAATAAATAATATCCTGGTTATAAATATATACATTTAATTAGTTGTTATTATTTTTTTAGGAAATTTTTATATTCTTATTAATATTTATTCATTTATTAATATTAAATAAAAGACAGTCTTAAAGCAACTATATGTCTTTTTTCTGATATTTTTAAATAAATAAATGTCCTCTTTACAAAAACCCTATATATATATAAATATATATATATATATATAACTTTTTCCTTAGAAATATCAAATTAAATCTGAAATAAAAGGATCGTAAATTAAATTCATATTGGAATTCTTAAAATCTATCATTAGAGACAATTTATAATCAACATGTACCAATTTGGGCGTTTTGGGGTGCTAATCCTTCCCCAAACGTAACCGACACGAATCCCTTTTATTTTTAAAAAAAATGAATTTTTGGTTAAACGCAGACCAGTTTATCTTTTAACTGATGTTTTCTTAAAACTCTTTTAAAAGATGATTTTTAGGTTTTCGACCTACCTAACCCAAAAAGGTCGATGGCGACTCCCAAAACATTTTTTTAATCAAAATAATTTTTTATCCACATTATTTTTCCCGCCAAGTAAAATTTCGTGCCCGGACGAAAACCGATTACAACATGGTGATTGAAATAATATATTCGTTTACCGATTTTATTGAATAAAGGCATTGTCACTATTATTTTCATTTATATGTTTGTGTTTAAAATAAACTGAAATATAATAAAGTCCCTAGAATAACATTATTATTATTAAAATATCCATAGTCAAGTATATTATGGGCATGAACAATAATAATACGCTTAAGACTAACATGTTATTGATTGATGACAACGAGTTGTCATTGACATAGAGATGTCAGAATTGATACATGACTATCTTGTTAGAGAACAATGTATTGGATTGACCACCATGAGCATATGTCTTGGATTATTATGTAACGGTCATAACATTGCTCATTGTTATGACTATATGTATGATCCTCAGACTTGAGATCAATGTTATCCCAACATATATTGTTGTATGTTTGATACAATTAACATACTCCGTAACTGGTTGCACTTAAAGACTGTTATTGAATATATCTCGATATGTATGGGTGGATGATTAAGATATGATTTGTCCTCCTACATAATAGGAAATATATCACATGCCACTTGATTGAGTGAGACTAGAAATGCATCACCATGCTCGAATAAGTTGATATGAGATATCACAAATTATTCATTAATTATAGTCTACTCTAGATATCAACAAACAATATATGGCTATAAAAGTGTGACTATTCCAACTATTCTATAATAAAGGACAAAAGGATGTAATACATAAAAGAGTTAATCATGAAGATGATATGTCAAATCATAATTTCTTGTAACTTAGGTGACAATGATATATTGCTAGATGTCACTCATTGTATGTAATATTAGAATTGTTCTAATAATTACTACTAACGTTACAAGAACCTAAAAGGTCATACCCTAGGATGAAATGAGCAAAGTGTACATTTGTTGTATGTTACTAAATGTGTATGGAGTTAATATATTTATATTGATGTATATTTTGTTGTATGTTACTAAAATGTATCTGGAGTTAATATATGTATATTTGATGTACATTTGATTTTAATTATTCCAAATATAATAATTAAATATTAAAATAATGTACTTTTGATTATAACTCTTTTAATCAATATTTTATTAGGAATAATTAAATAAGAGTTTAAATAAACATTAAAGATTATAGTTTAGATTATAATTCTTTAATGGATATTTAATTTGAATTAATTAAATAAGATTTTTATTAATTCGAAATAACTTAAAATCCCTAAGAGGTTAGGGTAACTAATATATTTAAAGTGAGGTAAGATCTCTTCTCTCTTCAGCCGTTTTTCTTAAAACTGTTTTTGAAAAAAATAAATTTTGCTCACAATCGGGTGAACTAAGTAGAGGCCGAAACATGTTTTTGTGAAGTCTTACAATTTAAACCGTTCGTAATCACCATTAGTCATTGTTGCCTTTGCTGTTTTTCGAGCAACAAATTGTGATGTTTGCTTTTTAAGGTGAAATTGTATGTATTATGGTATGACAAGCTAATAGGTTCAGAAAATTATAAAAAAAAAACATCGAGAGCAGAACAGGAAAGAAATAAAAACAGGGATAATAGAGGCATTTAATTGTAGACGGCTAAAAATATCGAGTGGGAGACATTCGGACAAAAGTACTTGCAACGGTCACTTTTTTGAACTTTTTTTTCCTTCATGTCTTGCAGTGCAACTTCTTCATATGCTTGAAGAAACTGGAAATAAACACGACATTCCTTCAAAAACACAAGTCGTAAACGCAAAACCCAACCATGAATGAGCAAGAGAGTTTGATCATGGCTTCAGCCAAAGTGGTGGAGTATTTGGAGCCGTTGATGTCAAGGGAACTTCTTTGCAAATTCCCAGACAACTCCGCCTTCGATTTCGATTACACCCAGAGCTCGCTTTGGTCTCCTTTGATCCCTCGCCCTTACAGTCCTGCAGTCTTGGATTACGATCCCATCATTATACCTCGAAACCTCGCTTTCGACGAGGGGTTCGGGTTCGGGTTGGAGAAAAGCAACTGCAGTGCCAAGAAATTCAGACCCAACCTGAAGAAGAAGAAAGCCACCGCTGCTTTCAACATTAATCTCCAGCTTTTGAGAAACAAGAACAAGACGAGGAAGAACATAGCTTCTGGATTTTCCCCAACTCCTGTCAAAGGCGGCTGTGCCCCCATCATTACCAAGGTAAAATATAGTTTTTTTTTCTTTTTTCCCATCATTTACTGTTTGCTTGTTTTTAGCTCCAAAAAGTTCAAAATTAAACAGAGTAAGGTGATGTTTGTTTAATGTGTTGTATACAGGGGTGGAGTAAGATGCTGAAAGCTGCATCGAAGCATTTCAAGAGAAAGAAGAAAGAGTCAACGGTCCACATGAAGATTCCAAACTATTTGAGAGATTCAACTATATGAATTTGGTTTATTGTTTTAGAGGTTAAAGATAAAGCCTGAAATATTCCTCCGGCATGTCTGTATCTAATTCCTTCAATTCATTTCAGTTCTGATAAAAAAAGCAGCATTTATTTCATTCGGCATGTCTGAAATATTCCTCCGGCATGATGTTAGCCGTATCGTTGGTTATCAACTGTAACTTCAACTGTTTTCTTAAACTTTATTTCATTCCCAGAGCTATATGTTACTCTGTCTTTTACAAGAATTCTCTAAATATATAAAATTCTTGAAAAGAAGATGAATTTCCTTTTTCTTACACTAATTCTTGTTTGATACATATCCGAATGGAAGGAAATGACCGAATTCCAGGAGTAAAAGACAGATTCACTCGGTATTCAGGGTAAGGATTGAGAAAAACATGGACATAAAGACTAATATTTAGTAAAATTATATTTTCTCTGCTGATATTTTAGAAGTAACGATTTAACCACCGACCTTTTTGATTTATAATAAATAGGTTATTCACCGTTAAACAACCATTATTAAGACTAACAAAAAATTGATATGGCACGCGACCTGGTACTGCTTTGCTACACAAGACAACCACACATATCGAGTTTGACTCCCTATAACTTTTTACTATCACTTACAAGCCTAAAATTGACTCCCTCAATTTTGTCGCCGCTAACCCTAAAGATGATGCTAACCTGAGTCACATGGATCAATGGGAGAATTCTTGCTCTGCTCCAAAATCGAGACTGCAATGCCTCGACATACTCAAAGCAAGGAAAAACTTCATTTTGAGGTTGTTCACTTTCAACGTTAACTATGTGCAGTCTCTGAAATCAGAGTTGAAATTCATGGAGAACACAAGGTATGCCTCTTCGACCATGTTTGTCTAGTTTTTGGTTCTCGCGACAGCAATAGCACCCACAATTAAAATTTATTTGAAACGAAGAATAAGCTTGATGATGGAAAAAGCAAAAGATGATGAAGAAAATAACATGAGAGGAAAGTCAAATGACCTATCAAAAAGTATCCTACATGATTAAAAGGTGTTAAGTCAAATGATTTAATGTGTCACATTATTTTATTACTGTAATAAATAATTATTAATGATAAGTGATCGATTATTATAAATTGATAATATTAATGACTAATTTATTACTTTTGAAATTTTAATAGACAAAACAAAAATTTAAATAAACAATAATGACTACTGTGCAATAAGAAAATGAATATATTTTGTAAAATCTATATCTATTGTAAGTAGCGCAGACGCGGTTTCTCCTTTGGCATTCATCGCGGACAAACCCTCTGGTTCCACAATCGGAAATTGGCTCTTTCTACTTGCTTCAACCAACTTTTAAACTTTGACTCGTGTTTTTCAGTCAATTGTTGCCGCTATCAAGTCAGTTTTTAATCTTGGATACTATAAACTTACTCCTTCTACCTCTATAATAATCTGAATCTGGGGTTTTTTTTCCAAAACCTGCACTGACAGATTCTCTTGACACCTACTTTATTTGCAATCAGACCCATCTTTTCTTTTGAACCCCTTCTTTAGATCTGGAGATCAATATGTTTTATTCTCTGATGCAGTTCTTCTCTCGGAAACAAATCATGTGATGCAAATTAGTTTGGGATATTACGAGGAAATTGTTTAACACCCATCACTTAACAACATGAGTATCGAGCCGTTTAACAGGTATGCCTTTCCTTTTACTTCAAATTAGGGGCAAGAGGATATACAAAACCAAGGATTATAAATTGGCTTACTTAATTTACTTATTGGTCGGAGTGTTCATTTCCCTCATGTTTTATCATATGAGTTAGAAATAAACTACCTTCACTAGTTAATTTTTAGTCAATCACATGGCTTAATTTGAACAAAGATAAAATAATATATGAAGTATTATTTTTTACTCAATTTTCTTTATTTTATAAATTGCTTTAAAGTTCATGTAATAATTAAGTTTCCCCCCTTATGTGATTACTTGTGTACTAAACATGACAAAATATTGGGATTGGGAAAACAGGTTGGTGAAACTTGCTGCTCGGGCATTTTACGATAACGTGACAACAAAAGGAGATAATCAACCTAAGATGGGTCGAGGGGATAATAGAGGGATTGCTGTTGTAGTGCTTGATGCTCTTACAAGGTACTGATTCTTTATTCATCTCTGGAGAGGAACTAAAAATAGTTTTCTTTCAATAGTTTGTGAAGGAAAAGAGGCGAAGTGGTTTTGTTTGTTGGAGAGATGGGAAGGTAGCATTGAAGTTCAGGGTTGGAGTGTATTTTTTAATAGGTATAGTATGGTGAAATCAAGTGTTAGACCAGATGACAACTTTTGCAAGTTTTTTTCCCCCAGTTCAATAAGAAGTCTTGCCGTAGGAGGTTGGGATTAATAATTTTTGCTAAGTATATTTAATGATCCCTTTTAAAAAAAAAGTACATTTAATGATACCGTGATGCCAAATATGTTTATTGGCAAGATTAATTTCTTGTTGCATGCAATAATCATGCCAGTTTGTTTTAGCTGTGCTTCAGGCTTACAGTTTTTGAGGCTCCTTATTCTGTTATTTTAATTCATTTCTTGCTTTCACCTAGGAGACAATGGGTTAGGGAAGAAGATTTTGCAAAGGAGTTGAAACTACATTCTAAGCAACTTCGGCGGATTTTACGTTTATTTGAGGAAGAAAAATTAGTCACCCGTGATCATAGGAGAGAGGTCAGAGTCTGCTATAGTCCCTTCTCCTTTTTCTTCCTTTGAAATAACATTTCATTGTTGTCACTCTGTGATTTTGTCGGTAAGTGTTCATTCTGTATCTGCTGTGCATCATAGCTGTCTTATTCCCTATTAATTTTCAAACATGGACCCTGCATATTAAATGATCGAAGTTATCTTGCTTTTCCCTTGTTGCTGCCTTCAATTGTTCCCTATTTTCACATAGAAATGAGGCATAGTGGTGGTGAACGTGACCAAAAAGTCTGGTTTCCATTTGCATTGTATATGTTTTATTTATTCATTAAGAGTTGGAACTGTTTTTAATTGTACTGTTATTAGACCCTTTACTTTTTACCTTGCATACTGACGTTTGATTTGGTCACAGACAGCTAAAGGGGCAAAGATATATAGTGCTGCAGTTGCTGCGACAGTTGATAATCAAGTGGGTGGAAAAGAGGGAGAGGAGAAGATTAAATTGCACACTCACTCATACTGTTGTCTAGATTATGCACAGGTTGCTACTTATTTATTTATTTATTTCCTTCTTTGCTTTTCCAATTCTAAGCTGGTTAGATTCAATTGTTAACAAAGGATTAGATAGAGAAGGCACAAAACCCAGGGCTATTTCTATGGTACTTAACTGGTAACGGTGGTTTCAGTCGGTATTGACTTGATTTAGAAAAAAATTACCAGTTTACAAGCAATGTACTGTTTTAGTTTTTTTGTACCGATCTGTACTACTACGAATTAGTCCACACCGTCCGCATTCCCATACTAGTAAATGCAAGGCTTTGTTTCCTTTCTTCTTTCTTATATTTTTTAAAATTTATTTATCCATCACCTCTATTTTCATAATTTCATTCAGAAATAAACATGTTCATTAAATTAGGCTATTGAACGTGATTAGTAACAATTCACCATATTTTATACTTATTTTATGTTTAAAAATTTTGCATTTAGATAGTTAACGGTTTTAAAATTTTATCATTTGAATATATCTGCATAGATGTATGAAGTGGAAGTTTATTTTCACTTGTCGTTAGAGAATTTAAAAGCGAGCTATATATGAAAAATATTTAAAATATACAGATAAAAACCGTAAAAGGGACATCGAAACACACTGGCACTAGTACATACCAATAACAGAAAAAAAATGTGCCTACTGACATGTAATGATTGCCTTGATAAGATCTATTGTTCCTTTTTTTATCCATTTATCATGTGCCGAGCAGATTCTGACTTCTGAGTTTGTGAAAATCTCTGAAGCAATGTGTTCTGTAGATATATGATGTTGTTAGGTATAGACTTTATCGTATGAAGAAAAAAAAGGATGAACTTGAGGACAAGAATACCGTTCAGGAATATGTATGCCCTGGCTGTGGGAAAAGGTTTCTGCCATTTCTTCTCTCTTTTTTCCTCTTCTCGTTTTTCTTTCCTTGTTTCATTTGAAAAGCATTTATAGTTTTTTTTTTATAGAAAATTAGTAACAATGAAAATTGAAGCTGTCCTATTACCATGTTTTCAGATACAATGCTCTGGATGCATTGCGATTGGTTTCTTTGGAGGATGAAATTTTCACTGCGAAAGATGTAATGGAGAATTGGTGGCAGAGAGTGACAAGTTAGCTGGACAGGATGTAGGAGATGGAGATGACAATGCGAGACGAAGACGACGCGAAAAATTGAAGGACATGCTTCAGAAAATGGAGGTAAATTTTCCTTTTAAATTTCCTATATGTTACCTTATCGAGCATATCCATCTGTGCTTGGTCCATGATGTGAATCTATTGAAATAATAAAGTTAATCCTTTTATCACAACTTAACTAAATTTATAGTTTGTTTACACTTCAATATTAACAGTGGGAAATTAGTCAGGTCCATTCTAATTCAGCTTAATTTTTTTTCTGTTATGGTTCCGAATCTGTGATCAAGTCGCCGGTTCATTCATAGGAAAATCTGCTTCGATCTAAGGGCCTTTCCCTTGTTATGATTCTTGCCGCTGGAGTAACCTATGATGAATGCGTGGAACTCATCAAAGGGAGTTCCTAACCTTAGACTCATTAGAAAAGAGTCTTAAACCTATGTAATTAAAACAAACTTCTGACTTAATTTTATTGCTGCCAATCAGCCTCTTTAAATAGAGGTTGTATAGGTTTTCTTGTTTGAATAAAAGACTTAAACTAAGGAAATTAAAGTAAGGATTCTAAATTAAAAGAAAAAAAGACTCCTAATGGTGTAGAAATACTTTTAAATAAAGATCTCCTAATACCATAAAAATACTTGCAAAAGTAAGTTCATAATATTTTCTTTCTAAAAATAATATTGCCTGCAAAGGCAACCCATAATATTTTCCCTGGGCTTCTGATTGTGAAGGAATGTTGTGTTTCACTTGAA